ACATGGATGGGGATATATATATATATATATATATATGCACAATTGGATATTGAGACATTTTTAGCTTGTGAGATGAGGTATAAGACTCACTCTCAGGTAACTTGCAATCCTAACATCAAATCATGAAGCTAGAACTGTTGTATAAACTTCAAACTATTGAAATAAGCTAGGATATCAAAGTACAATACTAAAACATAAAATCATAAAATCTAAATAGGTTCAAGTGCTCATCCCGTGACTCTCTACAACTAATATTTTCCTCTACTTAAGTATAAAAATAACAATTCATTAAAATTAGGATTTCTTAATTTAAAAATTCCCATTACTTTCATTACTCAGCAGATCTTTATTTGAATCATTTGGATAATGAATTGCCTTCTCTAATGTCTCATTCTCGAATATTTAATATTCTCTCATTCCTCTTTATATTTGATTTAACTCATCTTACTTTTTTTATTCAGTAATAATCAATAAAAGTAATAGTTAAATTTTAATGACTATTTTGATATTATAATATTCAATTATAAAACTTTTAATGGATATTTTTTCTTAATTTCTGGCTTGTTTGTGATGGCGCTGCTTCTGTCTCTATCAAAAAAGTCAGCATCGAGTCTCTTTCTGTAAATTAGATGGTATTGCCTGCAAATTAGGTGTTGCTGCTTTAGTATCTTTTCTCACAAATCATTTATCTTATGATAATATGTCATTACAATTTAGTGATTATCATCATTTAAAGCATTATTCATTTTTTTCCTTTTTTTCTCTATTTATTCTTGATAAAACTAAGGAGTTCATCCTTTTGGTCCTCAAATGATTTTTTTTTAAATGGATTTGATTCTATGTACACTCTAATTTTGCTCGCAAGTTAATGACAAATATATAAGTCTTAATATTCTTACAACAGATTATTGTAGCTCTAGAGTAGCGTCACTAAATTGAATGTCATTCAACAAAATTTAAAAAAAATAGTTAAATTTTAGATAATTTAATTTATCTGAAAAATATTCTGCATCTTTATCCTTGATTTGTTGTAGTCCAAAGAATCCTTCGTTAATTTTAAATAGGACAAGTTGCATATCAGCATCCCTCACTTAGTTGAGTTAGCTATCAACCTATCGATGCGATTATACGAACTCAATTTCATCTTAGGATTAGTTTACTTGTTCTCAGCATATTGAAATTGCAGATTAATATAATTGCAGCATGCAAGTGTAATGAAGCTGAAGCTCTACTTTTCATTAATAATTTTGCATATATCATTATGGCTAGCTCATCTCTTTTTACATTTGGGAGAATCAGCTTCTTAGCCTCGTCCATTATAGTATAAATAATATCTATAGTTGATTGTTTTTCTGAATCTACCATCATCAACAGTTGAACCAAGAGCTTTGTTGTTGTTATTACTTATATAATACTTAATCAAAATCTTTTTTTTAATACATTGTCTTATTTTATCCCTTCTACTTTCTTTGTCTAAGCATTGCTAAGATATTTATTTGAGATGAAGATAGATTTAAATGGTTGACGTGCTTTCAACATGCTTTATAAGTCATGTAAACTATAGCAACCCTAATTGTAGCTGGCCATAGCAGTTTCTTCATTGAAAATTTTCTCATTAATTCTAAAACACACGAATGATTATGTTAGATCGGTACTTTCCGCCACATAGAGCCCACCAAATAATTTGAAGACTTATTTTAGGCATAAGATTAAAAGGGCAATTTAATCATTTGTTAGTTATTCTTGTTTGGTATAAATAGGGCTTAATTTGATTAGGCTTAGAGTATGTTATTGTTGTCTAGAATCTAAGGAGTTAGGGTTCGGGAGAGAGATCGCTACCTCACGAATTGTAGGTATTTGTCTTTTATGTATTTTTTATTGTATTATTTTGTTTGGTACTAGTGAAATAGAATATATTCTTTTTGCTCTAATCGTTGCGAAAATTTGTCTTGTTCCTATCAAATTGTATCAAAGCCGAGCCAATCAAACATTCACGTCTCATTCCTTTTGCGCACGCCTTTTGTGACCAAACCCGGTGTTATAGTCGCAATTTGAGCTACTTGAGAAGCAATTATGGGACCGTCGCACATCCCTTCATGATTGAATCTCACAATACAATCATGATTCAAGCTAGCTCGATAGCCATTGACGGGATTGCGATATAGAGGAGCTCTACCTTCGTGATTGAAAATCGTCTATGGAGTTATGAAGGCCAAGAAAGTATACATAGGATGACAAATTAGTGGGAGGAGGTGAGTCAAATCAGATCTGGAATGGAGGTGTGTTTCTCGTCCATGGAGGGGCGGTTCTCATCCATGGAGGGGAGATTCATGGCCCTGAAAGAAATGATAAAGAAGATAATTGAGATTCACACAAATCGGCCTCCACTTGCAGCGGTATCGAGTGACGACATCTTGAGCGGATGCGAGCATCGGAAGGATTCATGCGATATCAGGGCAGCATCGATGCCTTAGACAGATTTGGAGATGCGAGCTCGAGCGAAGGAATTGGGAGTGTACTTGAATGACAATATTTGTGAGAAATAGTGCGACATCCAGACAACTCGAACAAGCGGCAACACGTGGAATTGGACGGCTTGCGATTCTAGGCTGGAGAAGATCTATTTGAAGAATTTCGGTTTTTAATAGAAAATCATGGTGGGTGGGAACCCTGTCAATGGCTGCATGAAACCGCACAAGTGTCTTTTGTTGCAATAGCCTTCTTGGAGGCAAAAGGCAATTTAGGAGCTTAAGAAAACAGACGAATTGATTAAGGGGCGAGTCAGGCTTATGGAAGAAGGAAAATCATTATGGGTCGAGAAAGAGAACCCAACCCTTGCTTTATGGGTTGACCAAACTTTGGTCGAGAAAATTGAAGAGTGACGCACTCATAAGGATGCTGAAGATGTCGATCTCTGAAAGAGATAATGTCTTTGGTTGGATTTATCGCTTGGAGAGATATTTTGCTGTTAGTGAGTTGACAGATGAAAAAAATTGATAAGGGTCTTGTGTTTGGAAGAGAAGTCTCTGGTATCAATGGTGAGAATAACGTCAATAAATCATAACTTGAGAAGAATTCATTGACCAATTGTTGGAGCATTTCAGAACCACACTGGAAAGTAATTTTACATGAGTAGTTTGTTGCATTTGTTCATGAAGGTTCCGTCATGGATTATGAGAGAAATTTGAAATGAAATCCGATTATCTGAGGGATATCGGAAAAAGTGTAGGAAGGAAACTCAATGGAAGGGTTGAGACAAAAAATTCGAGCAACACTTCATCTGTTGAGACGGCAAGGATTGAGGGAAACTATGAAATTAATACAGTTGGTTGAAGATAAAAATATAATGGAATGAGCTAACAAGAGTAGCACATGTGTTGCGTCATATCAAAATGTTAAAACGACAATAATACCAAAAACTAAAATAGTGGGATCCCATAGGGAGGCTTTAGGAGACGAGAATAATGTGCGACAACCATGGACGGCATTCAAGCACTTTACAAAGATAGAAATTCAATAGAAGCGAGCCAAGGGTTATGTTTCGACGTGACAAAAAGTTTTCCCTAGGATACCGTTGCATGGATCGGACCTTACAGGTTCTCATAGTGTGTGACGAGGAGGCAGGAGATGAGGAAACATATAAGACTGTGGTGGAGGAGGAGCACCCTCACTTAGATATGACAAAAGTTTTTTTTGAACTCGGTGGTGGGATTAACACCAAACAACCACACTATGATATTTCGGGGACAGATCAAAGATCAGTACATAGCTGTTTTGGTAGATAGTGGCCCCACCCATAATTTCATCTCTACTCAAGTAGCGAGGCAAGTGGGGCTCGAAATTGTTAATACATGAAGTTTTAGAGTCATAATGGGACAAGTGGAGAAGAGCAATGGAGTTTGTAAATAGGTGATTTTGATAGTGCAAAATATTAAAGTGATGTAGGTTTTTTTTTGTGGGATTTGGGTAGCACTTACATGATATTGGGTATGAAATGATTGCTCTCTTTAGGAGATTAAATGAATTGGAAACTTCCGACAATGGAGTTTCAGGAGGGAGACAAGATGATGGTGCTTCACAATAATTCCAATTTGTGCAATACCTTGGCGACACTCAATACCATGGTCAGAGTAATACATGACACAGTTTTGGGATTTTTGATTGAGTTGCTTTGCATGGAAGAGATACATGACATGCAAATTATTTGAAGAGAGTCCCGACATCGATCCAACAACTACAATAATTTGTTATGGTTTTCCGGTTGTCATGCCGATTGCCACCTTGGAGGGAACACAAGCATGCAATAACTCTGTGACCGGGGGTTTTTCCCATTAGTGTGCGCCCTTACCGTTACCCTTAGGTACAAAAGGATGAGATCGAAAGATTGATCTGATAGTGTTGGAGGTTGGGATCATATAGCTTAGTGTCAGCTCTTTCTCTAGCCCAGTCTTGCTTGTGAAGAAGGATGGGAGTTTGCGTTTCTATGTGAATTATTGAGCAACAAATAAGGAAATGATACCTAAAAACTTTCCCATCCTGGTGACGATGAGCTATTGGATGAGTTGTTTGAGGTTGCGGTATTCTCCAAGATTTACTTGAAGTAAGGATAGCGTAAGATTCAGATGCAGCTGACATATGTGCACAATATTAAATTTCAAATTCATGAGGGTCATTAAGAATTTTTTTTTTTATGCCATTCATGTTCACCAACGTACCAGCTACATTTCAATCATCAATGAATAAGGCGTTTCAACCTTTTCTCCGGAAGTTTTTGTTGGCGTTCTTTGATGATATCCCAATGTACAGTCATTCCTTGGAAGACGACATTGATCGCTTGAAAGTGTTGATGGTACGCACCAGCTCTAGATTAACTACGGTATTCTCCAAGTTTGACTTGAAGTCAGGATACTATCAAAAAAATTAAGATGCAGCCAACGGATGTGCACAAGATTGTGTTTCTCTTCTTAAAAGTTAAAATAGTGATTTTTTATGCGATATGAAAGATTTGGGTGGTATAAATATAAAAAGTGAACTTTAGGTATTAGATTGTAAAATACGTAGGAGTTGAGTGATATCTATGTAAATGCCTCTTATATATCTATAATTGTTCCAAAGTTCCACTTATGGTACTGATGAGAGTTTGTGATTGCAGGAGAGCCGGCTGTCGGCCGTGTGTGAGAAAGTATTTGACCGTTGTTTGGCTCCATCAACAGCAGTAGGAGAAGGCTGCGATAACATGACCATGATCTTGGTTCAGTTGAAGAAACCCATCCCTTCTAATGCCGCAAATACCGAACAATCATCCCAGCCTGGGCCTGACATAGACGAAAATTCTGTTGCTTGATCAAACCTTCGCTGGATTCCACTCTTTGGTTTTTATCTCCTTTTTCCTGCAATATTTGTGCAATATAAACCCTATTTCATCATAAAAAAGAAAAGTAAAGAGCTTTATTGAAGCAAAGTTTACTTTGACTTTATTTTTATGCAACAGATTTTTCCTTAGAAGGGGCACTTTGAAAATAAATGTACATATTGCTTTTATATCATGTTGTTCATCTTCCATATGCATTTCGGTTATGTAAATTGTTAGTGAATGATGCTTGCTTGTTTTGAAAAATAATATTTAGAAAAATGTTTTATTATAAGTATGCATTATTTGTGAATTCATATATTAATTTTTCATTAGTTATGTTTATATTCTTCGTTTTGTTCGGTAGACTTGACTATTTTAGAATAATACATGAAGATAGTGTTGCAGAACTATTGATTTGAGGCGAGTGAAGATGTATCTCTCGTTGTAATATTTGGCCATCTTTATGTGTTTGTTTAGTGCAAGAGTTTAGCCCCTAATAAAGGGAAATTTATAAAGAATTTTGTGTAATTATGTGTAAATATATAAAGAATTGTGTGGTATGTGTGTAAATGCCCCTAATAAAGGGAAATTTATATGCATATCACTGATGTATTTACTTAAACACCCAAAGTTTGACATTTATATTTATAATGCTCTGTTGTCATTTCAAAGTTATATTTATTTTTAAAAAGTTTGTAAAAGTGGTGTTGTTGACATGATATTTATGTGACATGCATTTAAATATGGAAGTTTAGATGGTAGATATGTAAATAAATAAGAATTGTGTGGTTTGATGTAAATGCCCCAATGATAAAATTTGAGATTTTTTTTTTGTGGAAATGTGCTTTTAGATTAACTATGGTAATTGCAAACATAATTGCTTTGAAGTTATTTTAGATATGCTAACTAAAAAGATAGTTGCAGGTGGTTGGAGCATGTATTACTAAAACATTTGCCATCACTGTAAATTTGTATTCTCCTCCTAACATTTGACAAAAGAAATCTCTCAATATGGTTGTTTTTCTGTCTAGAAGATCAAAAGAGTTGCTCCGAAGATAGGACAAGGTGTGAATTGCCTAAACTCGTCTTCTCATGTATGTTTTTAAACAAAATGTTCATCAAACGTTCAATATCAATCATAATGCAAATAGTATGAAAGTTTACTATAAGCATTGTGGCTAAAATAACTTCATTAAATGAGTTCCCCTTTGATGATAAATCTTCATCAATAAAATTAATAGTTGGTTGGCTCGCCACTATAACCTAGAGAAATTCACCAATTTCACTACTTTTGACTTGAGTTGCTTGGACTAGACTGATGAGAAGCCTTTGGTCTACATCCTCTTAAGAATTACAAAAACCATCCTTGCAATATGTCTGCCCATCATTGAAATGTGTTCATTTTGAGCTTCCTCTATTGGATCATTCCCTTTTCTCATTGTGTTCACCTCCTAAGCAATGAACTGCTTAAACTCTTTAGCCTTTATGAAATCTTCAATTACACTTCTCAGATGATGGCGCTCATTAATGTCATAGCCATGATCACTATGGTACATATAATACTCCTTTGGGTCATGTAAATGACATCTTGAATTCATCAAAGCATTTATTTTAAAGAATCCTTTTTTTGAATGACTTTGATAATCTCTACTATATAGACTCTTAGTAGAGCCACAATTAGTATCAATTGATTTGGATGCTGCAAACTCCTTTAATCTCTACTACTTGCCTGTCTTCCTTCAAAATGAACATACCACTTGATCAAAGACGCTTAACTCTCCACAAAATTTCTTCTTATCTCCATTTGATCAGGTTGCCCTCTATTTTAAGATTTGTGAAGGTTTATTTTGAGATGATGTTTTTACTCCTTATTTTTCTATTCAGATAAACTTAACAATAAATTATGCTCCTTAATGGATGTATAATTATTTGATAATTTTGATTCAACCAAGGACCTTGGGAACTATAACCCAAGATTATAATGGAATGGACCTCTTGCAAGTGCTGAGTCAATATAACATGAAATTGTTGGTTGTAAATGACTTCCCTTCATAATCTCCTACTATAATATGGTCACTGATAAATTGTGCAGTAAAGATGTACTTGAACTCTTCAAAAGAAGTGATAATTTCTTTTGGTAAGTTATTGAACTAGTGGAGAGCTGATACATTTAAAGTCATGAAAAATAATCGACATTTTAATTCATATTTGATATTTAGCAAGCAATCAACCAATTTTATTGATGCAATATGATTTAATCTCCCATTATAAGACTCAAAAAATAGAATCTTAATTTCATTGATGCCTTCTTTCCCTCCTATGATGAGAAGGAGAGAAATCTTCGTTATCTCGATATTAAGTTTCATTATTTTCTATCTCGATATAAAGCTCTTCTTGATCTTGCCATCCATATTGCACTTCTTAAACCAATAATTTAGAAAAATCAAATGACATCTAAACATTGAGCATAACTCTAGGTACATGCTCCAATGCTTCATGAATCCACAAAGTCGTTTGATCTTTTAATTCATTCATCTACTAAACCATAAACTCCCTAGTGCAATACATGTTAACTAAATCTTTATAACCTAAGCTTTTTTCCTTGTGCAAAGCTTCTATTCTAATATGTGTCATGATTCACACTCACCGTACCTTAAAGCATGTCAGATCATCAGTTATTTCACATCATTTTAGTAGGTGTTTATTATAAGATAATAGTGGAAAATTAGATAAGATTGATATTAAATTGGAGACTAAATAGGAAATGTTTTGTTTCACTCTCAAATTTTTGGAAAGCATAAATAAAAAGGGCCCCACCTCATGGATGACTTTTCCTAAAATAGATAACATTGATATAAAATTGGAGACTAAATAGGAAATATTTAATTTCACTCTCAATTCTTCAGAAGCATAACAAGGGGCCCCACCTCATGGAGAACTTCCTAAAATAGATAAGATTAATATAAAATTGGAGACTAAATTGGAAATGTTTTGTTTCACTCTCAACTCTTTAGAAGCAAAAAAAGTGGCCCCACCTCATGGATGCTTTTTCATATTTAAAGTTTTGTGTTGGCTCCACTTAGAGATGATTACCTAAGTGGCAAATTCATGCTTTCTATGAATATACTTGAAATAGTAATCACATGCTGATGTTGTCCTATTCATTAAACCTTCACAGAGAGCTTTATATTAATACATATAATTTTAATTTATAAGCTAAAGTATAACTCAAACTTGCGCAAAAGTGCAAGTAAACTTGAAATCAAATTTTAATTAAAGAGAGCTGCACTAGTTTAAGAAAATTTTGTGTTTAGTTTAAAAATTTACAAATACAATATAATGTTTTAATGAATTTGAAGTTTATACTGCTGTTCATATTGATTGAATTTAAAATTCGACCGAATTTTATTTCTATCATTTATGTAAAATGTTATAAGCAAGTCACTGCTGCCGCCAGCCACCTCTATTGCCTCTCGTTCTCGTTCGCCATCAGTGCTCACCGTCGCCCGCTTGCCATCGCAGCCGGCTTGCCGCCTCCGCTCGCCATCGCAGTCCTCCCGCTCACCGCCTCCGCTCCTTACCGCTTGATGTCGACACCACCTTCCGTCACTGCCTCCCATTGCCGCTTGCCGCCTCCGCATGCCTGCCGTCGCCGCCTGCGTCGCTTCCGGGCACCACATGCGCTCTCGCCCCCCGCCACCTGCCGCCACCTGCTGGAAGCTGTCCGCCCCCCCAGTTGCCACCAACCACCTGCCACCGTCTGTTGCTTGCCACCGACTGGCTGCCTGGTACTATTTGTCCATATAAATACATTATATTCAATCTATTTCAAATGAATTAATAAAATATAAAGTCATAAATTTATTTTTCAGTGAATAAAAAAATAAAAAAAATTTAAATATATTATAATTATAGTAATATATATATCTCGGCAATACATTCCATTTTAGTAAACCGACCCAAAATGAACTTGAATCACTTTCAAGTGACATTCAATTATTTCGACACTCATTTAAATACACTTAATTAAATAAAACTTCTAATCATGCCAATTTTGAATTAGCGGGAGCGACCATGCTTTGAAAATCAAAGCAGTGAAAAGATGAAAGATGTCTATAATTGTGGCGATCGTACAGATTTCGAGACCAACCTAATATAAATATGAGAATTATTTTTCTTTTTAATTATAAATATATAATATGCCTTGTAGTTTTTTGATTAATTAATTTCTATAATATGAAAAATTAAATTATTATTTTTTTCCTTGTAACTTTAAAGAAGCCTTCCCCAGAATCCACAGTGCAGTCATGATGCCCATGGTCGTTCTTCTCCCAATTTAAAACTTCTTTGCTTCGTTGATCCCCCTCCAGAAACCCTAACCTCTTTCCTTTCCCTTTTTCCCGCTATGGATTTGAACATTCACCCTGGCGATGAATTGAATTCTTCTCTTTTCTACTTGACATCCGATGGCTATTATGCAGCCCATCCTCCTCCTCGCTGTAAGTGGGCTGAAACCCTTTTATTTTCTGTCGAGGTTAGTTTTGCCTGACTTCGTCGTTTCCGATCAGCCGGTCACTTTGGAGGGGCAGCCATGCACAACCCAAAGCTAACCAAGTCCGGCCGGGAACCGATCGGGCGACAAATCATGAAGGAGAGGATTCGTGAGGAAATCTTAGCGAGGGAGATGCTAGAAAGGAGGATTCTGGAGGAGGAAGTGAGGAGAGAGCTCGAGATTGAGCGCATTATGGAAATAAGAAGGCTGCAGATGGAGAGGTGGCCGGAGTTTGGCGGCACCAGCGGAATGGTGATGCTTGGCGATCGCCATGCGCAAACATTTATGCCTTCACGGATAGAGGCAGGGATGCCGGCGTCTCATGGGCGTGGGGTTGTGCAGGATGTCGCGGAGCTTGCATTTCGTGAGCGATCCTCGCCTCACCTAACTCAGAAAAAAACAATGGCTGTAGTGGCACAGTCTGCTTTGCGGCACGAATCGGAGAAGTTTGCGCCATCTAATGAGGTTGGTGTTCGTTTGCCTTATTAGTTTCATGTTGTCGTTGAAGTGATGGCTAAGTATATGGCATTAACATGGTTTGCAACGTTTTTTCTTCTTTTTTATTGTGTTTTTATTTTCCCATCACTTGTCTGTATATCTTGGATGCTACTTCACATATAAACGTTTATCTTCGAATTGTTTTCCTTGCTTTTATTTTGTTTCTTGAGACTGGTGTATTTTGATGTTCCGAGATACATGAAAACTGCCGAGTAAAAAATTCTGAATTATTCACAGATTGAGTTAAGTGTCTTCCTGACGTAGGCTTTTTTTATCCATTTCATAACTCATGCGTCTCCCTTTCTAATCACTTGACACCTCTAGCTTAATCTGGGAATATGCGCATACAACTGCACAAGTATATTTGAGGTACTTTTCTATACTTATTCGTTGGGACAACTTTCGACGATGAGGAGTTTCGATGCAAATGTTGGCGAAACTTGGTTTTTGAAGAAGAAATTTCATTTTGTAAAGCTGATCCCTATCCTTCTCTTTGATTTTTTTTTGTTCTTACAAACTTTTTGCCTCAACATTATTTTCTAAATTACAGTAAATCAGCACTCTGTATTCTGTTCTTTTAAATGCACGTGAGACTTAATTTACTTCATTTTTCCTGGACATTGTTAGTATAATGATTTCTACAGCTGTGCCAAAATCATCACACTTTACATAATTTTCATTGCATTGGCATGAATTGCAATTTGTATTGTTGCGATGGAGTTTGACAGTGCTGGGCATTAAGTAACTTAACTGTGCATTGGGATTGAGTAGTTTTAAATGATGACGAGATGGTTCTTATCAAGGCCATATTTGGTTAAGTGGCAGATAACAAGATGCTGCAAAGAAGACAAATTTTTTACTGAAAAAAATGAACTTTTTTTTTTTGTAGAGTTTGCTTTAGAAAAGTGATCTTGGATAAACTAGCATAGATTGTGAATGATTGTGGCCCATGGTACGACTTTAATAAATTACTGTTTGGAAATATAAAATGCATTTCTCCAACCAAAGATGCTTTAGTATTAAAAAAAAAGAAACAATAAAAAAACATTGCCTAGTTTAAGCAAGCCTAAAAAATGGATTTTATCCACATGATGTGAACAATGTAAGCCTTATTCTTTTATCTAAGTTATGGGTCTAATTTGACTGCACACCCTTATACTCCCTATCACACTTCCCTAACATATCCAGAAAATTGCAACTCTGTTTGGTACGGACTGCCTCGTAAATGGAGATGAATTATAAATTTGATATATTTTGCTTCTTTATAAATCCATCCACCCCGGATCTCCATTTCTCTTTCTTGACGCTAGTTTTTTCAAGCATTCTTAAAGATTTCCCTTTCATTTTGCTAGTGATTTTGCTATGATGTTGTTTGCTTACTATTAGCCTGAATCAACAATATTGGATTCATGCTTAAACTCTTAAATTCTAATATATTTTATGTATATTTTATATTAGCATTTATTAAAAGAGCTAAATTGCTTAGTAATGAGTTGTATTGTGGCTAGATCATGATTCACTCATTAGTTCATCAAGCTTGGATCAGTTACACCCCCATTCATTTCTATCTTATCTATAGTGACATATGATGACCAATTTTTGCACCTAACACTTCTTGGGCTTGGTGCTGTTATCTTTTATCAATGTTTAAGCCCCCATGTGTCATGATTTATTTTTCTACTAAAATCCAAAAATGATGTAAACACGATTATTTTTGCCTTTAGAATATGATTAAAAATCATATTGGAGCTGAATTATAAGAGGCAGAGTTGATAATACTATATTCTATCTTAATTATTCTCTTTTTTCATGCTTTCAAGAGAAAAGATATCATATATGAGTTCTCTTTGTGTGTATACACTAATAAAATGAAGTTGTTGAATAAAAGAAAAAAATATTTCTACAAAAGTGATTCTCTTTTTTAAAATGAATGTTCCAAATGATTTTGAGTGGATGCTATTTTAATGGTTGCCCATAGCATAAACCAATTAACTATATTGGACTTGGATTTAAGAGTCCTACACAAGCTCTTAGCTAATTTTTTTATCACTTCAACATCTCAAACAACTTTTTTTATAATATTTTGGATTGCTACATTTTTTATACATATTCCTAAAATAGGGAAAAATTTGATCCAAGGGCAATTCTTTTTGTCTTCTTTTCAATTCTTCTGCACAAATGGGTATAAATTAAGGTTAAAATCACATTATTGGGTATTAAGACACTTTTCATTTGTAAGGCAAGACGTTAAACCTCTAAATCAATAAATTGCATAAATTAAGAAGTATTGTCCACACATTAAAGTATGAAATAAGAAGTAACCCATTAACATCCTAACCTATTAACAATTTAGAAGTAAGAAATTGAGTAAAGTATTAAGTATCATATTAACATTTTAATATTAAAACATGAAACAAGAAGTGTTATATAAACATTAAAGGTAAGATCTTAAAGCAAGAATTAATAATATAATAATTCAAAATAAGATCACAAAGGTATCTCCCTCCCATTCCTAATGTCAAGCATCAAAGTAAAAATATAATAAATAATTAGTTACCAAAATTAGAATTTTTAAAATCAAAATCCCTAATAATCTTATAACTTAGTGGGTTTTAAGAGGATTTATTGTCCCCTACTTGATTAATGTCATGATAAGGTGATCTGTAGGGAGCCTGATAATAATTTGCGACGCTAAGATTTATGTTTTTAGTGATCGTTATGATAGATTAAACACTAAAGACGGTGAAAAATATATCTATAAATTAGTAACATAAGGAGAAATGAAAAGTAGAGATTTAATTCAAGTGAAGTGTATTCAAGATGAAAATCAAAAAGTGATTTTCTTAGAGGGAGATATTCAACCTAGGTGGGTGAGATATTTTGATATACTTTTCAATAAATTTTTTGAAAATATGATTAACCTGGGTAATCTTAATATCTTTAATAATAATTGAACTATTTTTATCGTCACATTAGTAACAAAGAAGTTGAGGAGACTTTAAAGAAAATCAAGGTTGAAAAATCAATAGGACCTGATGATACCCCAATTGAAGTGTGAAAATATTTAGGAGATTTAAGAGTTTTTTGGCCAACTAAACTCTTTAATATTATTTTTAAACCTAAACAAATGTCTGATGAGTGGATGAAGAGTATTTTGGTCACCATTTTCAAGAACAAAGGGGATGCACAAGAGTGCAAATTATAGAGGGGTTAAATTAATGTTTTATACATTAAATTTATGGGAGAGAATAATTGAATATAGGTTAAGGCGTGGTACAAAGATTTCTCATAATTAGTTTGAATTTATGTCAGTTAAGTTTACTATGGAAACTATACATTTATCGAGAGGTTTTGATGGAGAAGTAGGGAAAAGGTAAGGAGGATCTATATTTGATTTTTATTGATTTAGAAGAAGCTTACGATTTGTTTCCAAGAGATGTTCTTTAGGGTGTTCTAGAAAAGAAAGGCGTTGGTATGACTTATATTCAATTCATTAAGGATATCTATACCAGAGCTGTTACTTTTGTTTGAACAGAAGGAGGTTTGACCAAGTGTTTTCTTTTTTTAGTTGGATTACATCAGGGATTAGCTTTAAGCCCATATCTGTTTTGCTTTAATTATGGATGCTCTTACTGGACATTTACAGGAGGATGTACCTTGTTCTATGCTTTTCGCTGATGACTCTTTTTGTGGATAAGACTAGAGAAATAGTTCCGGAAAAAAAATGAATTATGGAGGTCTACATTGGATTCTGAAGGCCTTCATTTGAGTAGATCTAAAACTGAGTACATGAAATATAATTTTAGTAGTAGATCTAGTGACAGTCCTGTAATTATGGGTGATCAAATCATTTAAAGGTGTGAACATTTTAAATATCCCGGGTCTATTGTTCAAAGTGTTGGTGATATAGATGGGGATGTTATTAGTAGAATTAGTAGAATTCAAGTTAGTAGAATTCAAGTTGGTTGAAGTGGAGGAATGTATCTGACCTATTGTGTGAAAGAAAAATACCGCTTAGAATAAAAGGAAAGTTTTATAAGATTTTGGTGAGACTTGCAATGCTTTATTACGCAGAATGTTGGTCTTTAAAAGAGAAGAATAAAATTAAGTGTTGGTGAGATGAGAATGCTTAGGTGGATGAGTGGCTTGACAGTTAGAGATAAAATGTGAAACTAATGTATCCGTGAAAGAGATTAAAGAGTTGGTGTAGCTCCAGTGACAAACAAGATTAGAGAGAGGCTCCTTAGATGACTTAGTCACATTAAACGTCGACTATCTAATGATCCAATTAGGAGAGTAAATGTTTTAGATTCGACTTATGCTTAGAAAGGCAGAGGTAAACCTAAAAAGACAAGCATATTATATTAAAAATGATCTTATTTTATTAGATCAATAGGACACAATGAAGAAAAAAGGATTCATGCAATAGACCACTTAGTGGGATAAAGGCTTGTTATTGTTGTAATATTTCAAGTTATGACAATATTTTCCTAGCCTGCCTACTCATCTTCAATCTTAATAGTCCTTTTCTTCCTAGTCAATAACAATTAAAAAAAATCATAATTAAAATTTAAAATAATGTTTATTTTCATTGTATAACTTTAAATACTTAAATTTTAATAGATAATTTTTTTATTTATTTTTTGTTGACTTTTATTATCCTATTTGTTTTGCATCTTTCCCCTTCGTATTTGTCCCTTGGCTTTGCCAACATCCCATCTCTCTTTTTTAAATATTGGTCTACACTGGATTCTGGTGTAGTGTTATGCTAGTAGTGCATCAGATGAGGTAGTTCCTGCTCATACAAAATCTTAAAAGAAGTGCCGCGCTGCGGTATGGTATGAAGTGTTGTACCAATACTCCACTCAGCAATCTATTCTGTCCAAAGCTTTTGGGTATCTGATACAAAATAATGCAGATATGTCTCCACACTTCTATTATGTAGCATATCTTTTTGAAGCGTTAAT